AAAAGAATGAGCTGTAAAACAATTCATACAGGTAACAGTAACCAGAACACTTACTGGGAGCCCTCACCTGGGAGGGCAGTGGTGGTTTGCCATTACAATTCAACAGAAAAGAGGACACCTCTCGTTTAAGGTACTCTGGGAGATAACAGAATCAACTCTGTAAATGATCCCCTTCATCTCATTCCTTTTTCCCTTTTTCCAGCTCCCTGTAATCAGGTTGCAAGGGCAGGACATCCCACACCAATCTGATCCTCAGATTAATGTAAGCATATGCACAGTGAATAGCCAGCAACCTGACAGCATCACTTCTTCTTGTTTGTATTTTTGTTAAGGCAATACTATCATGGCCAAAACCCAAACTACACTGGATTTCTGCAAGGAAATAAATAAACCAGAGCAGCAAACAGCATCCCAAATGTAGAGCTATAGCCAAGGGAATCAGCCCAAAGTTACATCACACAACGGCAAGGACTCAAGGGACTGGCAGCAGATCACAGCAGTACTTGGTTGATGAATTGATGCACACCTATCACCTCTCCTTAGGATGGAAAAGTCTCACCCCAATTCCCAAGAGGTTTAGATTACATATAAGGAAGAAACTCTTCCCTGTGACAAATGTAGAGCTATAGCCAAGGGAATCAGCCCAAAGTTACATCACACAACGGCAAGGACTCAAGGGACTGGCAGCAGATCACAGCAGTACTTGGTTGATGAATTGATGCACACCTATCACCTCTCCTTAGGATGGAAAAGTCTCACCCCAATTCCCAAGAGGTTTAGATTACATATAAGGAAGAAACTCTTCCCTGTGAGGGTGCTGAGGCGCTGGCATAGGGTGGGGCTGGAGCTGGATGAGCTTTGAGGTCCCTTCCAACCCAGACGAGTCTGGGATGCTATGAAAGGCGTGCAGCCCGGTCCTGCCGGGCTTTGCTGCTATGCCTGACGCGCAGTACCGGAGGTATGCGGCAGAGATGCACTGCCACCTCTTGTTCAGATAATGCAACAAGAGGAGCATGGGCTGGCAGAGAGAACCACCCTGCCAAAGCTGTGGGTAGTAGCAACGCCTCCAACTGCCCATCATACTACGCAGCTGTGTGTAGTTAGATCCACATCCTGGTAAAAGCAGTTTACTGGCAGTTCAGCGGCTTTCAAGGTATCCACTACCTAAAAAGGGCTGACAAGAAATCTGGAGGGGGACTCTTTACACAGACATGTAAGGACAGGACAAGGAGGAATGGCTTTAACCTGACAGAGGGGAGATTAGGTTAGATACTAGGAAATAATTCTACGCTATGAGAGTGGTGAGACACTGGCACAGGCTGCCCAGAGAAGCCCTGTGAGAGAGAAGGGGAGGCTCCCACTCCGTAAAGGTGACTATCCACCATGGAGCACCTTGCCACCACCACAGGCCTTCGCTGACAGCAGTAAACAACAACGGTACAAACCACAGCCCCAGAGAGACTTCCATACATTTGTATGTTTATTATTTCAAAGTACAATATATACATAAAGTATAGTGATATCTTCAAAAACTTTATACAGAAATGGGTATCTACAAAATTAAATCAATAGACATTCAGTGTATATTCAGACAACATACATACATTGGAAGATTCAACATAGCTTCAGTTATAACACAAATGTGGGAATGATGACCCTATCCATCTTGGAAAAGCTCTAACCACCACCCAGCTCCCTCTGCCAGGTTTCAGGTCCTTGTGGAGACACGGGAACTCTGATTTCTAGTGCCACCTACTGCTGCTATTTACCATCACAGCCGTTTCCATTGACAGCAGAAGGGTGAAGCCCCGTTCGAACACACCTTGTTCTCCGAGCCCCTTCCTAGATCGGGGTGTCTGCAGCACACGGGCTCTCCGCTTTACACTCAGAAGCCAGAGATCCGATATCCTTTTATTCTCTTTTAGTTATGAACCAAAATATTGTGATGAAAGGTATCTCAAGAGTAGCTTCAGTTTTATCAGCTGGATATTGCAGGTGTTGGCAGCAACGAGGAAGGATGATGAGAATGCATCCGAGGAACAAACCCACCTCTTCTGTTTTGTGGAGACTACTATTGCACAAGTCTACATGTCAGTTAGCCACTGACTTCTACAGCATAAAATGATATTCTTCAGTTCAGAGGGTCTGGCTTTAGACACTGTCGGCAATGGATTTTGGGGGGAAGGGGGGTAAAAGCATACTCAGCTTTCCTGTAGGGCCTCTAACAACATCTGGATGTTCGATGTTTGAATTCAAAGAGCACCCTGAGTATTTAAGAAACAGATGTTTAAGCCTGTAGGACAACTAGCTTCAAGCTTGGGATTTTCAAAAAGCAGCCTGTGGCAATTCCCTGTCTAATGGCCACTGAATTTCGGTGACAGCTATGCAGCTAACTGCTCCAGTCTGCCTTCAACATTCATCAGTTTATCTCCACAATTCAGTTTATCCGAGGATACTTTTCAATCTCAGGTCCATCACATAAAGTCTCCCACCCAAGGGTAAGTGAAATCTGATTGCTACACAAGCCCTGATCCCACTGCACACCAGCTACTGCTCCCCTGTGTGAACCACCCCATAGAAACCTACCGTTCAGAGGGAGTGAGTGTTCCTGTTACATGCACCAACACCATTACACTCCTGACTATCTACCCCATGGAATCAACAGGCAAGTGCCTTGCCAGCCACATTTCTATGGCTAATACAACACTGCCTCTCAGCAATGAGCAACACCATGAAGCAAAGTTGCTGGCTGAGCCTGTGATGTATTTATTCATCACATTCTGGGCTTGATGGATGGTCATTTGCCAATGTGCAAGCTAGAGTGGAATTCCCATCTGTAATGGGTATGTTTAAAAGAACACCTGTAGAAGGTGACTTTGGTCCATGAAAATAACACCATATTTTGGCTGCTCCGCACGTCTCCATAACCAAGAAAAAGCCTGAGAACCTACTAATGCTACAGAGAGAAGCAGCAGCATTTCCAGCAGGGCAGGAGGACAGCTAACTGGGTTTCTCAAATAACTTACAAAGGAGAAACAACCATGCCAAAAAGAAGTATGAATTTCCACAATGTCATTGCACTTGTCCCATCTGCACCACACCTCTCCTTCATTCACATTGTACACCTGGAGAACATACATTAAACGATGACAGTATTAACACGGTATCTAAAATACTGGAGTCATTCAGCTGGAAGCTGGAAAATATCCAGAAATCTGGTACATTAAAACATGAAAATACAAACATACAAGAGCTAAGCTATGTTTTGACATGCAAATTGTTCTAATTACTTCCTTTCAGCAGAAGGTCTAGTTCAGTCACAAACTGCCTGTTCACTTCCTGGAAGCTGGTGACAAATCTGCTACAGCAGAGCCAGGTGTTTTCCTCTTCCCATCACTTAAACAACAGTAAAGCAGAGGTAGTCTCATGACTGCACTGGTCCAAATTTGCTAACATTTCAGATAATGCTCTCAGGAATTAGAAAAATAGATGTATAAAACCCACCCAGATTAAAGACTCAGTTTCTACAATGCTCAGTCTGGTTTTAAATCATTTGTTTCCATCCCCCCCCTTTCTAAAGGAATACTTAATAACCCTTTGACACCAAAGGGACCTGCTATCCAAGACTCTTGAAGCTCTTCTGGACCACAAACTGGGTGTTGATTCCACAAGGACTTTCAGAGATGCCCATCTTTAAAGTAAAAATGAAGTGGCACTGTCTTGAACCAAACTATTCAAACCAAATCAGGCCCTTCTGCTCAATTTGGTTCATTACAAAGCTCCAGTGACTCAGTGGCATCCAAAAATGGAGTACATCCCCCAAATCACTGAGATGCTTTGATTAATTATCCTCCTGTGTGCTGGATTCAGGCCCCTTGTTTTGTGTATGATGCAAATGGTGCCTGCAGTAAGATAGATTCCCAGTGCCTCAAGCCCTGTATCCTTCCTAATTAAAATAGCTAAACCATTGCTGTAGTAAATTTACACTGAATCTTTTTCCATGATAATGGGAAGATCAAGTATTTAATAAAAACCCAAAGTATCTATTTACACTGTGATCTGGTCAATTCATTTTGGTCAAAAGGCAATAAATGCATAAATTATGCATTTACTGCTGGAATAGAGACATTTCATATCCTGTAAAGTACAGAACTCGAATGTGAACATGATGTTACGACTAACCAAAATCTTGCCACCTTGATATTCTTTCCTCCGTCACCCTCTCAGCCACTGAAGGACTAAATAACAGTTCTTAGTTCATGCCATTTTGACCAACTAATTCTTCACAACATTAAAATTAAGAAGTTGCCCAGATTTCACAGTCCAATCAATAGATTAAAATCCCATTTAGATATACTTCCCATTTCTTACCACTACTTTCACTGGCTGGCCTAGCCAGAAAATTGTTAGCTGCCATTTGTCTCTGAAAACAAATGCAACCATGATGTCTACCTGTACATACATGCCAACAGGCAGTTAAAACTCCTACTTTTAAAATACTGTTATGCAGAAAGCCAGAGAACTTTATTAACCAATTATCTGCTATCAGATTTCTTCAGATCCATAATGTCTAATTTACAGGATTTGTCAAAGTGACATTTGTTTCAATTATACACCCTCAACAAATGAATCAGAAAGCTGCTTAATCCCATAGTTTCACTTCTTTTGACTAAAGAAACTGACCAGTTGAATGTTAATCTAAAGCAGAAAAAATGCAGTATCATGGCCACCACTTAAAAACAAAGTTTTGTGACAGAGCATTTTTCCATGCGAATGTCAGCAATGCTTTATCAACCTAAATATCAGAAATATGCAAGAAAGGAAATGATGTCTGAAAGCCCTTAAAGCTCAGTAACTCTGAATATGTTCCACAGCAACTAAGACATAATTGGTTTTACTTTTTTCAAGCTCCATCATTAAGAGGCTGATTCATTATACAGTGCAGGAATTAAAATCTTACTGCAACTCACTCAAAACATAGTATGCACTGCAAAGCATCTGTATGTCATTTCAAAGAAAAGGTTCAGATAAATGTAGTGTGTAGTAAAAGTCAGCCACACCTCAGGCTGGCACTGGGGAGACAGAACCACGTTGACGCCAAACGCTGTAGATGTCTCACATGAGTTAGCCTGGAGGGTTAAAGGTTGTATATGCAAAATAGCAGATGCTTGTGCTGGCAGGCCATCAAATTCCAGGGAAAATGTAAAAAAGAGTGGTCTGTAGCACCTGCCTTTTCTGCATCTTCGGGTTAGTTATTCCATAGAAGTTTTAGTTATGTCTGCTTTATTCTCTGTTCCAGTTCATGCTTGTGTTTAATAAGCCGTTCTATTTCTGTTCCAAGAGTTTGAAGGTTTTCCTTTGGGGGCGAAAAGAAAAGGATAGGATAAGTTATACAGGGAAAGTGAGTCAGCACGAAATGCACCAAGAAGTTAAAATTACTGTTTATGTCAGCAGGCTGTTACTTTCAAGTATCCAGAACAAGCACAAATGATTAGACAAGCTGGAGAAAACCAAGCTCATTTCAATAAAGGATGCAAAGCCCTCAGCAAGTCTTTTTTTGCAGTTACTAATATTCTACAAGCTGTCTAGAAAGTATAGTGTTCAAGGGAAATGATGATTATAGGAAGAGATTTCCAACTCCTGCAGAACACTGCAGACCAGCTGGCAGCCTGCACAACATTTTCCAGCCTGCCACCTTTCCCTTGCAGCAGACACACTGCCCCAGTAGCTGAACAGGGCACAGGACCAGGCATGTAGCAACTGTGCCCCAGTTCCATTTCACTAAGGGAAAGCATGGAAAGACCCTTTCATGCACAAGCAGCCCAGAATTTGTTTCAAGAAGTGCAGCATATGTCAAGGGTCCCAAAACAGACATTCAGCATGAATTATGTTACCTTAATCTTTGATTAACCCAATGCTATCAGCCACACCAATTCACAGTGAGCTGGCTTCTGAAAAGCCACCTCCTTTTAACAGCACGCATCTCTTTGAAGGCAGCACCTCGGAACCCCAAGAACATGTGGGATAACTGGCAGAGCTACTCACTTTCAATGTGATATTTTTCAGTAATGTATCTTCTAACACAGCTTGTAGCTTCCTGTTTATCTCTAAGGAGAGTTCCAAGGTGAGACCACTATCCGCAGGATGCGATGTATACAGAGATGCCATAATCCCACCCCGTCTACTCAAGTGTACTTTGTTGAAGTCAGAGGCCTCTGATGACAGTGTTCCAGCTTCTTCCCGCAAGATATAGCTCTGAATAATCCTGGGGGGGGGTGGGGTGGGGAAATTGAAAGGAAAATCACAGCATCACAAGGCAATGAGAAGTCAGACACTGAAGTAGCTTCAGATTCCTGCTTAACGCAGTAAAAATCAATTCCCATCATTTCTAGGTCGTAGAAAACCAGGGATACCCAAATGGCTATAGGAGGTGCTGGCAAGCTGAGTCACTACAGTGCACAAAGTTTACATATTTAGAAGTATTCTGAGGAAGTAATATTGCTACTGGAGCAAGAAATGCCTTTACTTTGCTGACAGACTCTGGACAGGGAATCTTAAAGCCTTCTACAGACGAGACAAAAAGTCTCTGCTCAAGGATCTTCATGAGCTGTGATCATGTTTATTAAATGGCACTAGATAGGTACAAATGTATAGGCTCCTTAAGCAAGGGCTCTACTTAAGAGATAATTGGACTTTCCAGGGGAAGGTGCATGCCACAATTTCTTCCCCTCCTAAATGAAGTTCCAGACATCATCCCATAAGATGAGATTTCCATGTAAATGGAATCTTATTTCATGTTAAATCCTGACCACCTTTGGCTCAGATGCATTGTTTGTTTGACAGGCATGCCAGACTACCATCTGGAATTATGCAGATTCTCCTTCCAAAACAAACATACACAATCAGCACCCTTCTAAGCACATGAAGAGAACTGACTCTCCTGTTAGCAGTGGCAGCAGCCCACCTCAAATCAGCCACAAGCTGACCATTTTGCTACCCAAAAAGCAGTTGCACCAGTCTATTCCTCCTGAAAATATTTAGCAATAGACAAATCAGCAATTACTGTAACTGCTAGGGAAA